GAATTATAGGAAAATTAATTGTGAAATACTAACAGAAAGTGGTGAACGGTGTGATAGGAAACAAACCCCGGCAACGTAGGAAGCAGCTATTTAGGGAGTACTTTGTCCTAGGCCAACCAAGTAAGTGGCCTTACTATAGGATAGGCTAAAAAATTGTATGAGTTATGATGATGTGTGGATTACGATGCTTGATGATATGTGTAGTATATACACATTTTGATGAATGATGCACTTGGTATGTTTGACGCACTTTGTGGCAATATGATGAGTATGATGATTGCATGATGTTTACCTTAATATGATGATGGTTTCCATATTGAGCATGCTAGATGATGATGAGTGCCATATTGCATCACGTCGTTAGATCGACATAGGACACAACCCTAAGAGCATGAAAATGATATTAATATAAATATCCACGAGCATGTGTAACCTAGAGTAACAAAGAGATGAGACTAGAGGGTTGTGTCAGAAGAGACATTACGATGGATTTAGAGGGACCTCATGCATATTGTATGTTCATAATCATAGGGCTACTTTCCCTAGAGATGATGAGGGTGGACGCGCACAGGTGCGAAAGCATACAGATGAGGGTGTTCATGAGGCGCATGGCACTATGGGGTTCCGCTGACCTCCGGACGTCGCTACAGATTAGCTTGACCAGAGGGTCTAGGGGGTGTGCGAGCGCCCTGGAGATTCACACTCGCATGTATGAGTCGTGTGTAGGGAAGTACTACACATCCAATTTGTCCGAGACTAGAGGCCACCCCTAAGATGATTAGAGATAGGTCCCTAATTCATGATTGCATGTGTTTGCATTAGCATGACCCCTATAGTGGGGTCACTTACTGAGTATTTATTCGAAATACTCAGGCCGTGTGCCATTTTGTTTTTCAGGTAAGGGCAAGTCTCCCATGTACGGTTGACAGTGGCATCGTGATTAGAGACTGTGGCGCTTGCATAAGATAGTTGCATATTTAAAATTCCTAGTCTTGGTTAGGATAGGGCGTTTGCATTTCACTCATTTATATTATTTAATTTGTAATCGTTTTTTTATCATTTTGAACTCGAGCATGATGTTTAAAATACGTAAGTCTGGCAGTGTTTTCCAATGTTTGAACGTATTCTGAAGTTTTAAATTTTTCCTCTAATAAAGATGAGCATTCTTAGATTTTTATTCTGCATTAGAGATGAGCATGAAACGTTAGTGGCGACTCTAGATATGTGAAAATTTAGGGTCGTTACAGCAGTACTTACCGAATCTTGCTAAGGAGAATTCTCCACCTAGGTCGGTGCACAACACTTGCATCTTCTTCCCGCATTCGGCCTCCACGCGCGCTTGAGTGCACTTAATCGCTTCCGTTGCCTCACTCTTCCCTTGCAGCAGGATCAGCCATATGAAACGGCTCTTGCCATCGATCAGCAGGAGGAAGAGAGTCTTGCCGTCTGGGGTCGCTGGCTTGATGGGCCCGTAGAGATCACCGTGTACAAGCTCCAACAGCTCACCGGCGCAGTAGGATGCTTGAGATGGAAAAGGGGTGCGCTTCTGCTTGCCGATGAGACACCCGTCGCACAGCCTATTCACGCCCTCGATTGCTGGTAAATCGTACACCATCTCCTTCTTGTGTAATTTTTGTAGAGCAAGAAAGCTCAAGTGCTCGTACCTTGCGTGCCACCTCCAAGCTGCTTCTTTGGTCCTAGCCGAGAGGCTGACCGACTATTTTATCTTCAACTCCATAATGCAGAGGTAGTTTGCAATGCGTCGAACTTGAGTGAGGAGCCGTTGTCGATCGTCCCAAATCTTCAACAGCCTACACTCGATGTAAATGTAGCAGCCGACCTCATCGAGTTGATCTATGCTCACAAGGTTAGCCTTGAGCCTCGGGATAAAGTTTACGTTGGTTAGCTTGGAGTGCTCACTGCCCTTGCCGACAAACAGGATGGTGCCGCACCCTTTGATATAGACGATGGAACCATCGTCGAACTTCACCGATTCGCGAATCCCCGAGTCGAGCTCTAAGAACGCAGACCTGGCCCCAATCATACTATTTGTTGCCCCCGGGTTGAGGACCCATTGCCGGTGCTCGGGCTGCTCTCCCCTTTCGTCGATCTAAGCGAATACTCACTTCTTCTTCAGCTGAATCAGATCCCAGCTGATGCCTCTGCCATGCGTAGCTGGAGCTCTTCCTCGGGATCTTATTGACCACTCACCCACAACGCTCATTGGATTAGCGCTACTATTGATTGCTTTTATGGATTTCGAATCGAAATTGGGGATGTCACATAACACCGATAAGCTCACCGTGAAAAGTGTTGGCTTTTCCTCTTCTGATTGGGCCACATGGGCCTTCTCCTTGATCTTGGGCTTGCTCCAGCAATCTTTACCAAGGTGCCCTTTCTTCTCGCAGTTCGAGCATCGGATTGGCCCGCCTCAGCCAACTCCTTCTTCTACTACCCTTCTTTCCCGTACGCGCGCCCGCGAGGTTTCCACTACCTCTTGCCGCTTTTGCCGCCTAAGTTGTTGCGGAGCTTCAAGCATGCAAGTCACTCCTCCTCGGTGAGAAGTAGACAACCCTACTTTTCAATAGCTGAAGTAGTATTCTTTTTCCTCTCCTCGACGTTGTGCAATCTTCTGGTCACCTCTTCCATCATTAGATCGTTCATGTCAAGCAATGTCTCGATCAAAATTGCGAGTTGCTCGCAGTGATCTGGGGCGACTTGTAGCATCTTCTTCACGATCTCCATCTCGCTGATGCTCCCATCAAGAGTGGTGATGTTGTTGGCAAGTCCCATTATCCGCATGGAAAAATTATCGACGGATTTGCCATCCTTGAAGAGGATCTCCGGGAACTCCTTCCGTAGCTGCTCGACATTGAACTTCCACAGTCGCTGTACACCAACCCAGTGGGATTTGATCCCCTCCTAGGCCGATTGCATGGTGTGTTTGGTGGAGAGAGACACCAACATCTTTGTAGGCACAGCCCATAGTATGGCTGCGAATTCCAGTCGATCCTCCCGTACTCGATCGCTTTTCCTTCCTCTGTCTCGACGATGTGCCAAAACCCTTGCGCTTGCAGGTTGACGTGCATCAACAAAGCCCACTCGTTGTAGTTGGACCTCGTCAGCATCGGTACTGCACAGAGGTAGTCGTCTCCTTAATCACGCGCTCGACGACAACTTGGCGTTCGTCTTAACGGTGTCGGCCTCTTGGTGGCGGTGACAAAGATGCTGGCGCTCCGCCGCAACATGGAGGAGTGCATGAGCCTTCCTGCTATGGACCCCACGACGTGTGCATCTTCGTGTTTTGGTGCATCTTCTTCTACAATGAACTTGGCACTAATACCACTTGTTGTCTTTTAACTGAGTAGCTCACCGCTGGTGAGAGCAGGAAGAAAATAACAAGAAGCGCAAGATAACTAAAAGCTTGGAAGATTCCACTACATTCGGGAATGTGCAGATCAGGGGCTCATCAAGATTGATTTCATCCGAAGAGAGAAACAACTTGGAGACATTTTCACCAAGTCTCTTGCTCGAGTAAAACTTAAGGAACTTTGCTCAAAGATCAGAGTAAAAATAATAAGGTAGATATACCATAGCTTTTAGGAGGAAATTGTTAGATAAAAGACTGTGATTTTTATCCTTATTTAGCACGTTTTTCCCGTTTGAATCTTGTTCTTAGGTCATCTGAATTTATGCATACACGTATAATGGTAGACCATATTTTGTACACCCAAAGCGTACTCTCTGACTGGCTCGAACCGTTCATTTAGGATGATAAAATGAAGTGGGGGACCTCCCTTTTTTATAATGGTGGCCCACCCGCCACTTCTCAGCTTTCGCAACGTGGCACAAAGTTTTGCTTCTTTTATTTTTTTTTAATTTTATTTTTTTTTCATTTATACATCATACACTTCAAGATGAAACTTTCGTCCTCAAAAGTGTCTTAATATTGGAATTACTGGGTACTTCTCCTTGATCTCTTCCCGATGTTTCCACATATTTTCTTTCGTTTCATAGTCGTGTAAAAATCATTTTCCTTGTACATGTTTTTTTTTCTATAAACCATAAGAAAAATAGATATGATTAATAAGAATGAGAGAATCACAACAAAATCAAAATTTAAAAGGTGTGGTCGAATGTTCGAACATCCAAATTCATCGTTAGTCGATATTGTTCGTTTTGTCCACTTTGGCACGTTATGTAATATCGTTTGCTTCATGGTTTTAAAACGCATCTTTAAGGAGAGATTTCCACCCTAATTTTTTCTATTTAACCTAAGACTGTTACTTCAGATTTAACCCGATATTTAATGCGAAATTACTTTAATGAACTCTTATTATAAATTCAACATTAACTTCGTGCCTCATTTATTACCTTGGGAATAAACAAATACAAAGAAAAAAATGAAAAACATTATTGAATTAAAAGCCATATACTAACCAATGACCTAATAATTATAAATACAACTTAACCTATACTAACCTATACTTTATTAAATGCAAATACAACTCAACTAATCTATACTAACTTTGAACGCCTTCTAAAAATTGAAACTAGGAGGAAAGAGTCTGAGCAAATCAACCAAAATTTGACCTTGAGCCGTCAGAAAATGTACTCTCTGACTGGCTCGAACCGTTCATTTAGGATGATAAAATGAAGTGGGGGACCTCCCTTTTTTATAGTGGAGGCCAACCCGCCACTTCTCAGCTTTAGCAATGTGGCACAAAATTTCGCTTATTTTATTTATTTTTTATTTTATTATTTTTTTTATTTTTCGTTCATACATCATACACGTCAAGATGAAACTTTCGTCCTCGAAAGTGTCTTAATATTGAAATTACTCGGGTACTTCTCCTTGATCTCTTCCCTCTGTTTCCATATAGTTTCTTTCGTTTCATAGTCTTGTAAAGATCATTTTCGTTGTACATGTTTTTTTTTCTTTCTTTCTTTATGAGCATCACAAATAATCTCTAATGATATTTTTTTACTAAAAAATGTTGTGACAACTAGTTGGTTTCATATTAGAAAGTAGCAATTGACCTTCATTCTTTTTTTTTTTTTTTTTCAGGAACATTGACCTGAGTTCTTTGCATATATCAGTTTTATGATATTAACCTTCGCATTTCCAATTATTATACATAATTTCTTTTCGTCCTAATTTGTTAAAACCTAAAATATTACTTAATTCTGAAAGGGTTTTGAGTACAGTGATACCCGAGTAAAAGAGAGTACATGAATGGACCAAGATTATATCCGATAAAGTGACCCAGAGTATAGATGACTAAGAAATGCTTAAAAAGAATTGAAACTTACTACCTATATCAACGAGATGCACTTTCCTTTTTGTTGGCTTAATCATAAGAACTTCGAGATTAAATGTGCTTTTCTTGGAGCAATTTTAGGTTGGAAGACCTCTTGAGAATTTTCGTAGCAAACATGTGAGTGAGGAAAAGACATGCTGGAAGGACTCATGTTTGTCTGTGGAGATAGTTTTCACTCTTAGAAGCGAGAAGTAAATAACCTTACAATATTGTTAGGGAAATATTAGGGCCATTGATGGCCAAATCCTGAGTTTGAAAGCTTGCACATGAGTAGATACAAGTACAAACTTCAAACTCAACCAAATTATCAACATCCAAAGAACTATAAATTCCCAAAAGATTCCTCCCCTTTTATTAGACTTAAATATGCAACATATTTAAGTCTATAAAGAAACCCGGCCACTCTCTCTAGAATTATTACATGTGAAAGCAAGCAAACATTAAAGAAAAAAAAAGTAGGTTTTGTGGGACCAAAATGAGTGAGGGTGATTTTACTTCATTTTTCCCAAGGGTGTATAAATTCAAACTTCCCCGAATGAAGATTTTTTTAAGTAAAATCCATCAGCAAATGCTGCCAAAATGCAGTTTTTAACGTTGCATCGTTCAGAAAGCCAATGCGAGTTCTCTGGCCAAAACACCTGAAACGAAGCATGTCCATTCAAACCGTTAAAATTGCACCAATACAAAGTCGTATGCCAAAAGTTCATTTCAAATCTCCAGTGGAATTGGGCTCGCTTGTCCAAAACCTGCTCGTTCAAATCGTCGTCTTTTGACTTTCAATGAGCAGTTAAAACTGAGTTTGTTTGATAATTGTAAATAGTCACTTGCCATTTGCCTTCTAGTAAATGCCAATCTTCCACTACAGCTGATGGAATGTCAATATAGAAACCTAGACCTATGTTCTCTTAATTGCCCTATGTCAACACTTCCTTATTGAATATATTATGTTTTAGATTGAGTGAAATAGTATTGCCTTCTAATGTGTTGTTTTTGAATGATAGATTGGGTTCTTAGCCAATTATTTGGCACTTGTCTTGTCTTGACCTTCACTTGGTTGGTTAGCCACCATTTCTATGTCGCCACCTTGTCTATTGACATGTGGGGGTCACACCCTACTGTCTTCATAATATGGTTGTCACACTCTCTTACTTAAACTAGTCATCATCCTTACTGACTTTCTCAGGCGCACAATCGTATTGTGGGTTGTGAAATTCTCTCCCACTTAATCTCGACATCATCTCGATGATAATTCAAACATCAAATTAGTTGCTACCTGAATCATTAGAAATAAATGTGCCTTAGAATGAATATGAAAACTGTGGAATACTTATGGGCTATTTCATTGATGAACCTTCTCTCGATCCTTGACACTCGCAACATAATCACAACAAACAACAATTGCTCAATGATATTGGGCTATCTAACTAGGGACCTAGCTCACCTTCTCTTAGACTTGGCTGGAGACTCACTAGAAAAATTGTGGAAAAACTAACATCAACATATCCTCACATGAGCGAGGGGAAACGCACCCTAAAAGTGGCCATCTTCACCTCAACAAACGTATTCTCTGAGTTGTACAAATTGGTGTACCCCTTGAGGTGGGACTTCCAAGCCAAATCACAACATTTTCTTATCATGGTCATATCTCTTACTGAAGCAAAGTCTAAAAGCTTTTAGCACAATCCTTTCACTTGTTGGCATTACTGATATGGTAACCTAGCTAGTTTGTAACGGCCCAAGCCCACTACTCGCAGATATTGTCCTCTTTTCCCTTTCGAGCTTTCCATCAAGGTTTTTAAAACGCGTTTGGACAGGCAACGAGCCACGTGTCAACCGACGATAAGGGAGGCACGTGCAGCTAGGCAAAGGACATGCATCGCTCGTTGGGTGGAGCAACACGTCGAGCACCAAGCGGAGTGACGCGGCTCCAACCAAAACATGACACGTGTCCCCTGCGAACCGAGTTGACCCGCGATCTGCCAACTAACCCAATCCGACCCATAACCCAACTGACATACGATCCAACTGAGCCAAACCATGATTTGAATCGTGAACCGAATCACCAACTGAACCATCCCAGTGAACCACGACTGCAGAATCCGACTCGCATGTGACACCCGCAACTAAACTTTGCTTGGGGCCGTGAGGTTTGTTTTACGTTCGTTCGACTTCTGTTTGCCCTATTTTCATCCCTATTTCATGTCTAATCATATTTTTATCCTTAGTTGGGTGGAAACGCTGGCGAAAGGGCACTGGTCAATCAAGTAAATCACCACCCAATATTTAGGAAGAAGTACTTGTAGGATTGCATGCATGCTAGTATATTTGCCTTAGATGGTAGCTTCCCATGAATGAGATTAGGCAGATTGATTGTTATGAGCGTATTATGTGAAAAATCGTGTGAGTTATCTGAGTGTTGCAATAATGCTTTAAACTTCTACTATACGTATGCATATGTTTAATTCATGTCGAAATTATGAACTCCTTGTGATGGATGACTTCACCTTGTTGAGCATGAATCCCGCGTTTCAAGTGCTTGAT